GAAGTCCTTCTCCACAAGGAAGGCAACCTTAGAGAACACGGTGCCAGTTACACACTCTTTTGGTCAGGTAAACCAAGAACCGAAAGACATCTTTCAGGAGTTGGCTACATGATCAAAAACTCTATTGTTCCTAAACTCAAAAATCTGCTGACGGGTCATTCTGACTGCATTATCTCCCAACACCTTCCACTACACAACAAGCAGCACGTTGTCCTCTTTAGTATATATGCCCCAACTCTCCAAGATGACCCTGCCGAAAAAGATAAATTTTACACTGACCTGTGCCGCCTTACCCAAAAGGTTCCTGCAGATAATAAGATCATTATCCTTGGTGATTTCAACATCAGAGTAGGAAAGAACTTTGAAGCCTGGAAAGGAGTATTAGGCAAGCATGGTGTTGGAAACTGCAATGATAATGGTTGACTTCTGCTAGAATTCTGTGCGGAGCAACAGCTCACCATCACTAATACTATCTTTCAACAGAAAAATAGTCTGAAGACAATCTGGATGCATCCTAGATCTAAGCATTGGCATCTCATCGATTATGTCTTGGTGCGACGGAGAGATGTTCGCGATGTCCATCACACCCACCTGATGCTCAGCGCAGAATGCCAAACAGACCATTGACTTGTGCACTGCAAACTTAACTTCGATCTTAAGTTCAAACCTAAAAGGGGCAGTATCTCAAGGAGGAGACTCCAAGTTAACAATCTCCAATCAGCCACAGTGAGAGACAGATTCCAGACAAATCTTCAAACTAGGCTCGAAAATCATTCTATAGATTCTACAGATCCCTCTCCTGAAGCACTTTGGCACTATATTAAAAACAGCATCCAGCAGTCCTCTGAAGAATCCTTAGGGTTCTCCTTCAAGAAGAACAAGGACTGGTTTGATGAAAACAATCAAGAGATCCAGGAATTGCTGAGGAAGAAGAGAACTGCTCATCAAGCACACCTTGCACTACCATCCTGTCACGTAAGAAAAGTAACCTTTTGTCTTGCATGCAGCAAGCTCCAACAGAAACTCTGTGACATCCAGAACAAGTGGTGGATCAATCTAGCTGAAAAAACTCAATTATGTGCAGGTACGGCTGATCACAGAGCATAAGATGAGGCCTTGAAAACAGCATACGAGCCTACATATCAGGTCCAAAGCCCTCTACTCAACGCAGATGGTCAAACGCTTCTGACAGATAAAACCTCCATTCTGAATCGTTGGTCTGAACACTTTCAGACTCTCTTCAGTACCAACCGTGTAGTCTAAGACTCAACTATTCAGTCCATCACACAACAACCAGTGAAGAATGAATTGGATATTGCCCCCACTTTGGGAGAAACTCTTAAGGCCATACAGCAGGTGAAAATTGGCAAGGCAGCTGGGGTTGATGGAATTCCACCTAAAATCTGGAAACATGGGGGCCAAGTACTCCACGCTATATTTCATGAGTTTGTGGTGCACTGTTGGGAACTAGGTAAACTACCATTAGACCTTCGTGATGCAGTCGTCATCACTCTGTATAAGAAGAAAGGAGTTAAATCAGACTGTTCAAATTACCATGGTATTACTCTGCTCTCCACTGCTGGCAAAATCCTGGCAAGAATACTTTTGAACAGATTAATACCCGCTATAGCAGAAGGAATTCTACCTGAAAGCCAGTGTGGTTTCAGAGCCAATAGGAGTACCACAGACATGGTGTTTGTTCTCAGACAACTGCAAGAGAAGTGTAGGGAACAGAACAAAGGTCTCTATGTAACCTTTGTTGATCTCACCAAGGCTTTCGATACTGTGAGCAGAAAAGGTCTATGGCAGATTTTGGAATGTTTAGGATGTCCCCCCAAGTTCCTTAAAATGATCATCTCACTTCATGAGTATCAGCACGGACAAGTCAGATATGGCGATGCAGTTTCTGAGTCCTTTCTAATTACCAATGGTGTGAAACAAGGCTGCGTTCTTGCACCAACTTTATTCACAGTCTTTTTCAGCATGATGCTCCAAAGGGCCATGGCAGACATCGATGATCAGGACGGTATCTACATTCGATATCGTACTGATGGAAGCCTATTCAACCTAAAGCGACTGAAGGTCCACACTAAGACCTTAAACCATCTTGTCCAGGAGCTGCTTTATGCTGATGACGCTGCCCTTGTTGCCCACACAGAAGCAGCTCTGCAGAGTTTCACATCCTGCTTTGCAGACGCTGCTGAGCTTTTTGGGCTGGAAGTCAACTTAAAGAAGACAGAAGTTCTCTCTATCAACTGGCACCTCAGGAATTCTTCCATCATCCCCATATCACCATTGGCCAATCAGAGCTCAAATCAGTCCAGCTCTTTAATTACCTAGGTAACCTCATCTCCTTGAATGGTAAGGCTGATGGAGAGATAGACAACAGGATAGCAAAGGCATATAGTGCTTTCAGAAAACTCCATAAAAGAGTTTGGTGTAATAAACACTTGAAGAAAAGTACAAAGATCAGTGTTTACAGAGCCATTGTGCTGTCTACTCTTTTATATGGTTCTGAATCTTGGGTCATCTATCGCCACCACCTGTGACTCTTAGAATGCTTCCATCAATGCTGTCTCCGTACAATCGTAAACATCCACTGGTCAGATTATGTGACCAATACATCTGTTCTAGAACAAGTACAAATCACAAGTATTGAGGTCGTGTTACTGAGAACACAGCTGCATTGAGCAGGGCACATCTCAAGGATGAAGGACCACCGCCTCCCTAGGATCATGCTTTATGGTGAACTTGCCACTGGCTGCTGCAAGAGAGGAGCCCCGAAGAGAAGATACAAAGACTCCCTGAAACAACATCTCAGCCTTGGCCATATTGATCAACATAACTGGTCTACTCTGGCCTCAATTCAGGAGGCCTGGAGACACACCATCTACAACGCTGCTGCTTCCTTTGACAACACATGCAGGATCACTCTTGAGGAGAAAAGAAAATGCAGAAAGAATCATACCTTGCAGAATTTACCACCCAAGGAGTCTTTCTGCTGTGCCTTTTGCAATCGGACGTGTCTATCTCGTATTGGCCTTATTAGCCACCAACGTGCTTGTAACAAATGTGGATAGAGCCTTTCCCAAATCTTTGTTCGCAAAGCCTAGCCATGAGATGAGATCTTATTACCCTCTCCTGAGACAGAAAACCCCTTATGCAATTATTGCTTTTTAAAATAATCTATATGCTACTTTAGAGAGAAATGCAATATAATATATTTAGTTTTGCTATCAAAAAGTGGAAGGTCATGCTACAAAACAGAATTAATAAAATGTGAAAAACTGGAACATGTAAAAGATTTCTAATTATAAACTCAGAGATGTTCCATTGTTCTGTGGAAAGAAATGTAAAATGTATCTGTAAAATGGATAAGTAGACTCAGGTACACCCTCAAATTGCTATTTAAGACAAATTATTAATTGGTACAGAGTAGACAATAGGTACAGGAAGAAGAAGCATATGGTTCTATGATTTCTCAGGCAAGAAGCAAGCACTGGACTTACAAATGTACTGTTGTGTCATGAGATAATTTGTAACACAAACCTCTAATTCTGTTGATTGAACAATAAAAACTTAGCAGCAAATATTTATATTTCTTCAGCTAATTAAATTGGATGAACATAGGTTTCACAATTGAAAGCAGGTATTTACATTAAATTTTAGAACATTTTAATTATAATGCTTGAAAGGATTTACAAAGGACATGGTAAGAGATCTGTTATCTAGATTAGGGCTCTCAAGTTTTGTAATAAGGACTGTATCATCTTAAGAAGTTTATTGTATTTTAATACTAACATATGTAAATACTACCAATTCACTTTGCTTACTTATCATTAAATAAATATTCTTGTCTCTTGTCAGAGAGATAAAAGATCTAACATAGCTAAAATCATAAACTGAAAAACATAAAATAATCTGGGCAAAACTCCACATAAATAGTAGCTTACTCATACCCATTTTTTTTCCCACTTTCTGGTTTATTTTCAGTCTGACCCTGAGCAGAGTATATGAAGACAATGCTCTTAGAGTATTTCTTTTTTTTTTAAGGATACTGTCAAGGTTCAATTTTCTTGGGCTGTGCCCCGTATTTCATGTTGTTGACCATTGCTAGTTTTATACAAGTAACTTCCTTGTAAGAGTAATCTTAATTAAGTAGAAATTAATGGTCTTCTGCAATTTTGAATTTCCTTTGTAAGCTCTCAGACAGTAGGCTTGGACAAGTGATCTCTCTGTCCCTTGAAAACTACTCCGTTAGTATGAAATTAATACTTGGCTTCACCTATTTTCCTTTTGAAACTTGGTTTCTTGATTCTTTTTCAGAGTTTGACTGTAAACCTCTGTGTGCCTGCAGCAGCTTCACACCTTCTGGGTCTGGAGGCAGAGAAAGAGGTTGGGAGGTCTCAGAAGAGATGCTTTTAAAGCTAGTTGACTGTATGAGAAAATAAACAGATCCTGAGGAGAGAATGAGGTGTCCACAGAAAGTATTTTACATAACAAAAAAAGTAATTAATGTACGGTTGTCTCTCAGCCATAGTCCCTGTTAATAGAGGCAAATGCACCTTTAACTGTCAACAAGGTCTGAAGGAATACATACACTCACCATTTCACAGAATCACAGAATGTGCCGAGTTGGAAGGAACCGGCAAGAATCATCAAGTCTTACTCCTAGCCCTGCACAGGACCTTTACCAGGAGTCACACAATGTGCCTGAGAGTATCGTCCAAATGCCTCTTGAACTCTGTCAGGCTTGATGCTGTGACCACTTCCCTGGGGAGCCTGTTCCAGCACCCAACCACCCTCTGGGTGAAGAATCTTTTCCTAATTTCACTCGGTCTATCCTCCAAACCCTGATTTTCCTTCCAGGTGCAGATTTTGATTTGTAAAGACCTTTATGGTTACTAACTTGGTCTCCTTAGAAACCACCTATGACTTATTCTCCATTTATGATTTATTAAAAAAAGGTCAAATCACCTGAGTTTTTTTTGGTTAAAAGAGTCTGGATGAAGTCTCTGAATGTACTGATGACAGAGCTGTTTTGATGGCTAGCCCTTATATCAGGTAATTGTTTGTAATTTTTTCTTCTATTTGCATTTTTCTTAATGATGGTTTGAGCATGATTTACCATAAAGCTGTCTCTATAATTGAGTTTTATCTAATCAGTCTGATGATAGAACAGATGAAGTGGCTAGCACATTGTATATATATTTTGTTGGTTTATGTATATAAATATATATATATGTCCATTGTCTCAGAGTAACTAGAGTACTTAGCAATTAATCTCTTTCAGTTTAAATCTTGATGAGGTGTTCATATTTTATTGTTGTTTTGTTGCTTCTTTTAATATAAAAAAGGGTATTTTTTATTTTTCTGTTGAAATTTCCTTATTCATAATATATATGCATATTATTAGGCTGATCCCAAAATAACTAATATAATTAAAACCAGAATATATTTTCTCAAATAAAGAACTGAAGTTTTAAATGATTTTATATATGTACATTTGTATACAATATGTTTGCATTAAGAAAATGTTCCACTGTAATATGGACACACAAAGTACAGAATTAAGTTTATACATTAAAAATTTGTTTTATCATCTTATAATTTTTGTATGACACTCTGTACAACTTGTATTCCTTGCCTTTCTGCTAAATGGCAGTTTGGGTTGTTTTGTTGTTTTCTTTTTTTTAATTTGAGACTCACTCAAGCTAAATATTTGACTGTATGCTTATTGTTGTAGTCTAAAGTTAAAATATGTGCATTCACACCATTTTATTTCATTAAATCAGAATTGATTATGTGTTATGTATTTCTCTACTGAAGCTGCATTTTATGCTTGATTCCAAATGCCATTATATATGTTGTTTATTCCTCCAAGCAGAGATGTTAAAGGTGGCTAGGTGAGAATACTTCAACTTTCATTCCTTGCTACCTTTATTTCACCTGAGACCCAGCTAGCAAACCCAGCGCTGTGCGTCCGTATATACCCGCTACATCTGGAAGGCCTTTACAATTCACCTGTTAGCCTGAGAAAGAAAACACCTCAAAGAACATACAGTTATAGCCCTCCCATTGTTTGCTCTGTTCCATACCCAAGCTTACAACCAACCACCAGGTAAGTAGTTCAGAGTATCCATCCTTATCATGTATATTGCATATAGGAATTTAGTACATGGTATAATGCATAATATTATGTGTTAATGAAGAGTTAGGAAAGCTTTTGTAAAGGGAAGTTGTGCCCCAGATTGGAATAGAACACTTGTTATAGTGTACACTTGATATAATGTACCTGAATTTCAAAAAGGCATTTCACAAAGTCAGCCACCAAAAGGTCTGAAAGATGCTAAGCTGGGCCAAGAAGAAGTGTTATTATTGAATAACTGGTTAAAGGGTAACAAAAGGCAGGAAACAAATTCTTTCAAGGCAGATGGATTGTGACTGGAAAATGACTGGGTTCAGTGTCAGGGCCTACAATGCCTGGCATATTTGTAAATACTCTGGGAAAAAAGGGAAGAGATAACCAACTGTGCCAAAGTTATTAAACTGCAACATAGGACCCTGTGGAACTGTTGATGGATTCATGATACTGAGAGACTAGATAATAAAATGGCAGGTGACATTCGGCATCCAGAGATAAAAATGAAATCTGTGGAAACACTGCTCGAATGAAGGACTGTGCACTCAGAAAAGATATTTGGTGTTTATATTTTTCTGTTCTATGGCAAGATCAATTTGGCACTGGGTAATATTTAGCAAAGCAAAAGGTAGCATTTACTAGGAGTGGAATAGAAAACATTATTATGGTCATAATACTGTGCATTACTCCATGATTTCTGCCCATCTTGGACCCATAAGAGTCCTACTCCTGCACCATCATGAAATAATAGAACTAGAAAAGATACAGAGGGAGGTAATGGAGATGAAGGAAAGATGCAGAAAAGTCACTTACTGAAGAGAAATTTTCAGGAATCTTCAGTCTGAAAAACAAGCGACCGAAGGGAGGTATGTTCAAAGTCTATAAAATCATGAACAATATAGAGAGAATGATTATAAATTATTGTTTATTTTAATTTGAGAAAGGAAAGTGCAAACTGACACTATCAGACAGCAGAATCAAAACCAACATAAGGAAGTACTCCACAAGGATAAACTGCAGTGACAGCCAATTGCAAAGAGGTGCAACTCTGATACGTGACATCACAGATGTTAAATAAATGTGTGTTTAAAAAGTCCAATAAGGTGAAGTTGCTGAAGGAAAATAATTTAAGACTCTAAAAACACAAGAGACCTACATCCACCCTAGGAAATGCAGACTGCTGAAAGCTGGAATGACATACTGGAAAGTATCTCTAAATGTGTTCCTTATTTGTGTATTTTCCTTAGGTGTCTCTATCAGAGAAAGAATGTTGAATCTCCTGAACCTTTTATCTAAACACAATGTTCAATCTGATGGTCTCACACTCACATTAATATTACACTCTGACATGTGTGACTTTAAAGCTATTTATTTTTCCTTCCTTCTTTAAAAATAACCAGTCTATGCAAAATTCCACAACACCTTTTTTACAGAGAATGGGTTGATTTCAGTTTATTTTGTATGTGTGTTTCTCTTTCTTACATCAAAGATTTTGGTTTCGCTCTAAAATTACATTTTTCTCTATGATTACTATTCAGGCAGATGCTAGTTTACTCTGGAAGGAAAAAAAAAAGACACATTAAAGTGTCATCTATTTTGTCTAAAACCTGCTAAATTAATTGAGAACTACCACCACTGAAGCAGAAAATAAGGTTGGATTTGAGTAATGAATGATGCCTGGTTAATGATACCAAACACTATTAGAGCAAGGGAGACATTTTTTTCTCAACACAGCTGATTGAAGAGGGGGTTAGAGTTGGCAGGAGGATGAAAGACTAGGTGAGAAGAATATGTTATTCACTGCAGAGAGCAAAGACTGAAATTTGAGAAAGAAGTTAGAAAGCAAGAGAATCAAAGAAGGTCAAACAGATAGAAAATAAAGAAGAACAAAACTAGGTGAAAACTGAGAATTTGACACAAATCTTTGGCAGTGTAAAAAAGAGTATTATGCTAGCTATCTTTTCTGCCTCTCAGTTTGCATGTGTTTAGGATATTGACCACATGAACCTGGTCAGAATCCCAGTCTACATAGTGGGGCAACATCTGAAAGTCAATGCTAAGCATCCTTATTTTTCCTTCTTATTATTATCATTAACATTATCATTCTCATTATCGTTATCCTTTCCATCATTATCATGGATGGTGGGATAATCTTGCATATAGTTCTCACCAAAAGTTTTGGAATAAATGTAAAGTAAAAGGACTGAGTTTCCCAAGTTAGAGAAAACTATTCTTTACTCTGATGAGGTACAAACTTTTTTAACTGTCCTGTGATGTGACTGAAGTGACAAAAATGAAGTACTGTGGCTTGCTTAACTTCAGTACAGAACCCTCTCAATTTTTATATTTTTATGTCACTCATTTAAATGATCTTCTAAATCTAAAAGGGTGATGAAAAGATCAAGTACGTTTTTGACATTTTAGCTCCCTTTAGGGCATTATTTTTACTTTTTTTTTTTTTTTTGTCTCAAAAGACTGGACTCTGCAATTTTTCTGAAGAGTCTCATTTTCAGAAAGCAGACTTGAATTGTCACATCCAGAATGACGTGATGTAGAAGCTGATATGAGATAAAAAATATTTTCTTCCTAATTAATGTCAGAAAAATTATCCAGACTTTAAGAAGTAATGCTGTTACATACCAGTGAATTCTTCCTGACCTTCTCCCGACAAACAGGTACTGAAAACTGTGTGGGCTGTCATCATGTAGGACCAATATTTTTTTCAGTACCTTGTGCATAAAGCGAGTTAGCACTGCAGACGTCCCTCGTTTCAAACCTAATGCAGTCACAACACAGCTTGAGTATTTGCTCCCTCTCTGGCTTAAAATTAGGTGTCTGTTTTTCAGTCTCAGTTAGTTTAGCTTTACAGAAACCAACAACACTGCAAAATGCTACTTGGATGGCTGTAACCGAGCTGACCTTACTCTCACTCGTGTAGCTCCGTGTGTTCTGGAGACAGAATGATCCCTTGTACTGCAGTAGAGAGAGCTTCACAGGACTCTTTCCCTGTGATCTATTGATAAACTTGTCTGTTCATTTGGGTACAACATGGAAATTGTGGAAAGGTAAACTGCGGATCTGTTAAGGCAACAGCTTGTGACTTGTGTTGACCCAATTTAAATCATGCTCATACTAATGGGCCAGGTAGCTGCAGCACTATTACGTTAAATTTGGAACTGATGTTATATTTGTGCAGAGGACCTAACTTAGTATACTAATTCTTCTTAGCTTTTGAGTGTTCCTACTTTCAGTTAGCAAAATATTTTAAATATTGAAAAGATCCCAAAAATCTAAACTATTCTTTTAACATTAGAAGTGTTTCTTCTTGCTTCTACGGATTTTATTCTAGAATTATTAATGAAACGACTACAGAAATTACTTCTATTTTATATTTGTAAGAATAATAAGACAACTACCAGACATTTGTCTGATATAAGGTCTAAGTGCTTGATCCACACTCCATATAGTTTTTTTCCCTTCTCTGTAAAACAGAAAAAGAATATAAAACTGCCTAATAACTAATATGCTGCTTTTTAGACCTACTAGAAAGTAAATAAAAGGAATGTACATTTAATGTTTTGCTGAAGCAGAAAGCACTGATGTCAAAATGACATAAAGTTTGAGAACCATTAGGCTTATACATAAGCATTGATAGGAACATAACTACTCAAAAAAAATGAAACATGACTTAACATGTAGAGTATCTTGACTTTCCAGGGTAATAAAACTAATTTTTTTTCCTGTGGATATTTTCACTTTATGATGACCTTCCAGCTTTCTTTCCTTTCCCTTGCTGGACAGCACCACAAAATTTTTAGGTATGCTTCTGTCTAATAATACCTTATTACTTTCATTTAGCACCAGAGAATGAGAAAGCATTCTTGTGTATTTCTCACTTTAGTTGATCATATTTTATTGTTAACAGGACAGGAGGTGTTGAAAAACACTGGTATGACACTGAGTTATCATTCAGAACAGGAGTGTATTACTGGCTTTGGAAAGCAATCTTGGATGGCAGGATGTCTGTTCTCTTTAGGTCCAAAATTAAACCATTGTCAAAAAGTTAATAAAACCCCAAAAGATTTTGTGAAGCAGAATTGTTATGCTTTGTAAAGTCCTTCTTATACCAAATGTTCATTAAAATAAAATTATAGCACCTGGAACTAGCTGAGCATAATTTACATTTTTACTTCATGTATTTCTTGTTTAGTTTCAGTTTCATGCTAATTAAAATGTGGGCCAATATCCATTAGTATAGGCTAGAGGGGTAGTGATGCAGAGCAATGAGCTGGAGGGCACTGATGCATGGCATGAAGCTGGGGGCACCAGCATGAGACATAAGTAAGACAGTTTTATGGAGTAGACTAAGAGGCTCCAGGGAGAAATTATATGCTAGAAAATGTTACTGAAGTCCTGTAGTCTGAAAATTACTGGAAGAAGACAGATGGATGGGATGACCGATAAAGGACAGAAATCTGTAAAATGGTTTATTTGAGAGAACTGGTAGGCTGAGTCTATGAGGAAAAAAAAATCAAAACATGGAAGACCACTGGAACAAAAAGCAAGTGCTAGGAATCACTGAAGTATGCTACAGGCAAGCTTTCCAAAAGCTCGATTAGCAGAGCACAGCTGTTGCTTTGACAGAGTGGGTCAGCCAAAGTAAAATTTGAAACCTAAGTATCACTAAGGGTAGCCAAGATGTCAAAACATGTGTTCTGTGTCAGGTCAGAAAGGACAGACTAGAAAGAAAGAATTGCACTCTTATATTTGTACGTGGATGTGGTGTGCTGCGCCATGGTTATCCTCATCCTGCAGGTGACAGACCTCACTCTGCCATACACAAGTGATGGTGAACTGGGTGGCCTTGGGAAGTACTTGGTACATATATATTGAAGCTCATTGAGCAGATTTGTATGTGGTGCAGAGCCCTACGCTTTTGGAGGTCACAGTGCTGCAGAGTACACTGTGCCAAATACCCTTCTGCATTCAGCTCAGCATCCATACCAAGACACTGAATAAATTAGCCGGTAAGGAGATGCATGCTGCTGCAGCTACTCTGCAGTGACTGCCTGAACTATTCCATTTGCATATAGCTTCACTTACATGTAGTTAGGGTACAACCACCTTGTACTGAAAGCTATGATGTATATTTAATTATGGAAGAATAATAATGGATTTTAGTTATATCCTACATTTTTTGTACTATCCAAAACTGTATTCAGAACTCAGAAAACTGATAAGAGGTTAATATTCATTCCAGCATATTGGTACAGGCAGGTTCTTAACTGAGCAGCTGCATGAGGCTTTTCTATTATCCTACCAATTTGCCTGTGCTTGTCCCATTATTAGAGTTTATGCCTGGAATTAGATTGTTATGCCTTGTGAAAATAGTCCCCTGTATTTGTAAAGCACTTCTCAGTTTTGTGGATGTTTCCCTGATGCAATTTTTAAATTCTGTAACATCAGAAAATAATCATGTGAAAAAAACTCCCAACCCCCTGATTAAATAATGGTGAAAATAATTTGGATCATATACTCTAAATCAATATTTGTCTCTCATTTCCTGATTCTATTCTCATAAACACATCCATTAAAAGATTTTATAAAATTTACTTCCTGTCAAATTTTAAATTTGGGGTTTTGATTATGGTATATATTAATAATTTCTGCTTAGGCAGACAAAATTTCTAAAAGGACTCAGAAAGCCAAAAGTTTCATCATCTGAAAAAGAATGAATAAAAGTTAGTGAGGAACTTAATATTTTATTATATGTTACTTCTCTTTCCTTCTAATGTGTGTATGCATATCTTCTTTAATACTTGTATTTATGGTATATTGGGAAATAAACCAGGGGTTAGAGCTTTTCCTTGATTAACAGTGTTCTGGAAGAGGTTTTGAGAAAGGCCAAAATTGAACTAGGATCTAAAATTATAATTCAATGCTATGATAATCTATAAAATAAGAAACACTATTAAATCAACGGGAAATGAAAAAGACTGCAGCTAGCCAAGCAACCATCACTCAGCACAGAAGCCAAGTGATCCTTGAACTGGACGAATCAATCTAGACTGCCAAGGTCAATGGTTGCCATACTCGAGGAAATATGAACATATGTAGTAGGAACCTTGCAATAAAATGAACCATGCTGCCATCTTTTGTTAATAGGAGTTTTATCTGATTAAAGGGCTGAAGGTAGCCCTTGTATCAGCAAATTTGAACTAGTATTTGGAGCAAATTGACTGACAAGAGATGATCCAAGGAAGAGTTATGAAGTAGCAATGCTGCAGTACAGTCATACACTATTAAGCTGAGCATAGAGGTACTGCAGACAGTAGATTTTAGTATCTCCCTACAGCTGAAAAGGGTTTAAATAGCTGTGTTTAACATAAAAGGGTTTTGTATCCTATTTTATTTTCAGACAAGTTAGGCACAAAGCTGAGAAACAAAAACATGGACTTGGACTTTTAAATACTTTCCCAGCAGCACCTGAATAGAAATATTCTTCGTTTCACCCTTGTGCATTTTTATCTCTCATAACTTACAGCCTCTATTGCCTTTCAGCCTCAATCAGTTCTATCACTCTCATATCTATTTCACAAAATAGGATTTGCATAATGAACAATTTTGCAGAGATTCAAAATATAAATTAGGTTTTTCTGACACTGCAGTGAAAGAAATTTGAAAAGATTTGATCTTTGTGACTGCCGGAGTCAGCAGGGGTGAAAGTTAAGTTGTGTAGAAAGCATAGCAATCATACTTTTCATTAAGACATGCATATTTTCTCATTGATCATTCTCAGTGCATCATCCAGATGGAAGACCAATCTCAAACATGACCCATTATAATATTTCCCATACATGAGTATAATAATTCACTGCCTTTTCAGTTACACTAGCTGAACTTAACAGTGGCTGCACTCATTTCTGTAGTCAAATAAACTTAGTTACTGAAACACCTAGTAGGGATAATAAGCACTGTAGGGAATTACATTAGTGCCTTTAATCATTAAGAACTATCCTACTCGACTGGATGCCGGTATGATTATGTGAAAGAGGATGGAAGAGGGACTGCTTTAAGGATAGTGATAAGAAATTGCAAGGCTCACTGTTAGATAGAGAAGCAGATGAAATGGAAATCGTTCCATCCTGAATGCCAGCACATGCCATTGGTAAAAATAAAATCACTTGAAGTACACTTCTAAATGCCTTTTCTGAAGTGTTTCATATGTGAATGTGTGCATCTCTGAGGGCTGGGACAAGAAGACGAGACTTGCAAGAGACTAGTGAGTTAGTGAGTTGTAGTGTGTCTCTGAGAAGAGAGAGAACATTTGAAATCAGGAAAGTGTTTCAGGTTCCCTACAAGTAAATAGAAACATGAAACAAACACATTCAATGTTGTTTTTCCCTTTGCAAAGATACAGCTTGCAAGGCTTAGAGCCACAGAATCACAAAATATGCTGAGTTGGAAGAACCCACAAGCATCGTTGAGTCCAACTCCTGGGCCTGAACAAGACCGTCCCCAAGACATCCCCACACCATGTGTCTGAGAATATTGCCCAAAGTCTTCTTGAACTCTGTCAGGCTTGGTGCTGTGACCACTTCCCTGGGAAGCCTGTTGCAGCACCCAACCACCCTCTGAGTGAAGAACCTTCTTCTAATATCCAAACTAAACCTCCCCTGACACAACTTCAGGCCATTCCCTCAGGTTCTGTCACTGGTCACAACAGAGAAGAGATCAGTGTCTACCTCTCCTCCTCACAAGGAAGTTGTAGGCTGCAGTGAGGCCTCCCCTCAGTTTCCTCTTCTTCAGCTGAACAGACCAAGTGCCCTCAGATGTTCCTCACACGGTTTCCCCTCAAGACCCTTCGCCATCTTCGTTGCCCTCCTTTGGATGCTCTCTAATAGTTTAATATCTTTCTTACATTGCAGTGCCCAAAACTGCACACAGTATTCAAGGTGAGGCCACATCAGTGCAGAGCAGAGCAGAGCAGGACAATCACCTTCCTCGACTGGCTGGCGATGCTGTGCCTGGTGCCCCCCAGGACACAATTGGCCCTCCTGGTTCAAGCAGTCATGAGTGAAGAGAAGTCCGGGGGTGGAGAGCAAGCTGCATAGGGGGGTTCCTGAGTCCAGGAACACCCAAGTAGCAGCCCCATGACCCAGAAGCCCTCGGCAGTCAACCAGATGAGGAGGGAGTGGTGCCGGGAGTGACCAAGGGGCATTTAAATGTCATCAGGAAACGTGAGCAACCCAGACAGCAGTGAACTGAACTTCAAATAATTCCTTATGTAAAAAAGGGATATATTAATCGAGGAACTTTACATTAATAAGCAATTTCTCCAAAAAACCCCAAGAGAACATGAAACAATAATATCTATTTTGAAGCAGTTTCAGTGGTCCTAAACATCATGAGACCTGTGATCCCGAGAAGCTTGTATAACCTCTGAAAACCACTACTATATAATATACAGTATAGACATAAGTTATAAGATGGTGTGTTCAAGAACTGGCAGAATAAACATCCTCATGGAACTCAGTTATCAACACTAGTTATGGCAGGTTAGCCTTGCTGTAGTAAGTTAGCTTGCTGTCCTAGTTAGAACAGCTGGGACCGATTCATCACTGGATGGGTGTAGCCCAAAACTGTGTATTCTATAGCCCTCTATGCCATTTCCCAGAAACTGTTGTCAGTAGAGGCCTGCGAGGTTACCCCCCCCCCCATGCTCCTGTCCTCATGCCCTTTTGTGGAATTCCCTGACTGAGCACCCTCACACCCTTTTATGGAATTCCCCACTCTGAGGGAAGGACTGAACATCCTTTTATGGAATTCCCTGCTCTGAGGGAGGGACTAATCATTCCTACCTGAGCTGGAGAATATATAAACCTGGAGTTTCAGAACCTTTCCACCTCTTGTGGGATCCAGAGGAGGACTGCAGCTCACCACTGTGAACCAGACTGCAGCTCACCGCTCTCAGCCGGACTGAGACCACCACCCTCAACTGAACTGCAATCACCACTTTGGCCGGACTGCAGGCTCTCCCACCAGCAGGGTTTTTTTTCCCCTCTCCCTTTGCTTTGGACTCAGGGGGGGCCCAGGGAGCACCGTTTTGTTTGTGCCCTGGGGTGCTGGGTTGTACATTTGGGCTTTGTGGGTTAGGGCCGGTTGCTTGTCTGTGTGGTCGTACTTATTATATTATTTTATTAAATTGTTATTCTGATTTGTAATCTCTCTTTTGAGTTGGGTTGGTTTCCCCTGCTGGTTAACTTTTAAACCAGCACACTTGCAAAAACAGATGATTTGCCTGTCCAACTAGTAGGCATAATGGGTAGCCTTTCAAATGCAAACTCATGACTACATGTGCAAAAAAGGGGGTAAACTTGTTTTTTTTTTCTGATTTTTTAAGTGTTTATTTGAAACGTAGGCTTTAGATACCATCAGAGATTAAATGTTACCTATTAAGCAATGACTGAGAGAGTCTAGGAAGCTACTTATTCCAGAAGAAATATTTGTCTCAACCAAATTCTTTTACCAGCCCTAAATAAGAAAAGGAGCAAATCTCTACTTCAACCAAAGGTGAAACTACAGTATAATTAAAGCCAGCCATTAATCTACCTTGCATGAGTAGTAATATAAATGAAGATATGATACATGAACTCCAGATCAGTCTGCCACTGGATAGAACTTTGTCAGCCTGTCAGGTTCGTGGTGACCTTCTGCTGCTAGTGTACAGGCGCTATGTGTCATTTGTGTAAGCTCTGTTACTGCAGTGAAGGTACATGTAAGAAAGGGTTTCCTAAGTAAAGGGCTTTAGTGTACATCGAGATTGGGAGGTCTTGGTGGAAAAAAGCTGTGTCATCTCACCCCTTATGAAAACAGAAAAGTGGTTCATGAAGTATCATTTTAGCTGCAATAATAGCTTTGACAGAGAATGTTTCTTATGTAGGTTGGTCCGGAATCTTCCTAGCTGTTCACTGATTTCTGGGTGTTGTGGTTTTAATTAAATGAGAAAGATTTTTTTTTTAGTGATTTTTTTCATACCACCACATGAGTGGGAGCGTGAGTAACTGTCCTGCCCCCCGCCCCACCCTGTCTGAGCTGAATCGGGGAAAGATTGTCCCCAGTGTCTTGTGACCTGCTGGAAAGGTGGGTACCTGAAGGGAAGCATCCTAGAACTCAGGAGACAGGCGTTTAAAAAAAAGCATGCACCAGAACTCTTTCTCTCTTGGTACCTGGATATTTGCTTGCTGGAGCGCCGTGGACCTTTGGAGCTTCTTTCATGGGAACCAATCTGCCTCAGCTGCTGTTTTCTGTCTCAGCAACAGCCATTTTGCTCATTGGATTGGGACTGCCCCAGCCCCCAGCTGAGCTGTCCAGGTGTGACCAGTCACTGCTGATAGCCTGGAGATTCCCCTTTCAGGAGCTGCATGGAACACTGTCACTGTGTGGCCCAAGACTACTGGAGGGGGTAGCTAGGTAATATTTTCTGCTGTGATTTTTTTTTTGTTTGTTTGTTTGTTTTTATTTCTTTCTGGTGATGGCAAAAAGGCACAAAAAAAGAGTTAACAATGGTTCAGCTGGTATACCTTGTCCTGTTTCTCTACCTGTTTTGCTAGAAGAACATTTTAGGAACACTGGCTAATATCATGTTCTGTTCTGCTCACTGGCCCAAAGGCCTTATTATAGAAAGAATAGGAGTAGTATACACAAGGTAATAAATTAGGTAAACTAGACATTTGAATAAGATACAGAGGGCCCAGAGCCAGGATTTCGCAAGCTTGAAGAATTCAGTTCACCTAACTTGAAGAGGTCAAATTGAGGAAGAGATCTGTGGCGAAGGATGAAGGCTTGAGGAGAAGATCCTCACAGTAGAAGACTCTGCATACCTAAAAGGATTATAGAAAGACTCCACCCAGAGACTAGCCTACTTATTAATATGTAGTAGCCATGTATCTAAAGTGTATAAAATTACTTGCTTTTACACTTTCAAGCTGAGCAAGTTTGTCCAGTGAGAGCTGACTTACTCCCAATGTTGACTAAACAAATACCTTGCTGCTTATAGATGCAAAAGTCTCTGAGCAGTTAAATATTCCAAGGTTTTCTGGCATCACTGGTTTTAGCAAAATTGTTATTTTTCCTTCTTCATTCAAACTCCTTATAATTTCTATCTTGTCAGTATTAGGGGGAGAGAAATAAAAGAAAATGAGGGTTCATCTCGTTAGCAGTCTCACCTCCCAAACATATTGTCATTAAACCACAACACTGGGCAATACAAATTACTGTGTATCCCTATAACTACCCTATCTCTTTATGTTTTAAGGTCTTTGTCTAAGCTATGGTCTTCAATGACACACTTTTAAATAGTTCTTCAGTCTAGTACTGGTGTGGCAGCTTTGGGTCTACAGACTTCCTAATAATGTGCAGATGGTTCTCAGGAGGATTAACACACCTATGTTGCCTCTGTAGCTCAAATAGCAGGTGGCAACGTTCACTGAGAATATAAACTTCAAAGGGGGGTGATGGCCTTCTTCTGGGGCAGTTTTCTTTGTAATGAGTATACAAAGATGAACAAAACCAACCTCATCTCTTCACATTTGTCATTGAATACATATTTAATAGTGGCAACTTTCTTCATTATTATCAGAGAATTGTCCTTATTCATTACCTGAAAATGTGTAGCTAAAAACCTATGTTTCTGCTCCAGTGTACAGGAGTGAAAATATCTTCATTTAATGTATTTCAGTAACAACGTAAAGAGATTACCTTTTGAAGATTCTGTGGAACAAGAAGGCTTTCCTAGTTACTTGCCTTTATGTCTCTGATAGTCATGGAGTGTCTGTCACTCCATCTGCCAAGCCCCCAGTATCCAAGAAACAACACAAGTTTTAGACATAGATTTTATCTAATGAAAATTATTCAAGATAACATAATCTTAACTGATATGTTGCATAACAGGACTAAGAAAACTCAGCAAAAGTGAGAAAGGTGTTGAATTAACCACACACACACACACACACACACACACACACAAAGGCTATATACATCACACACGCTAAACAAGATGTGGATAGGTGAACTGAAATAAAATTATCAAGAAATTATTTCTATTGTGCAAGATTCCCATTTCTCTCTTGCTAACAAATTCAGAACTGAAATCTTCATATTATATGCAACAAAGTCATGTATTTGTGATGCTAGCCAAGCTCTTCTCTCATCTTTCAGCCAGTATTTCATCTGAGTTTATTGTACATCCTTACTTCAAAAAGACAGTGTGAAAGTAGAAGAAACATATTTACATAATAAATTTAAGGATTATGCTTAAAATTGTGGCTTGGTCCAAATAGCCTTATTATAAAGTTCTTTGAAAGTGATCAGCACAGAGAGATTTTAGGGACAATAATTGCAAATTTAAGCAGTGAAGGAAACATAATGCTTGAAAAACAATTGTGGAGAGGATAGAAGTCACTGTGACCTAGATTGAAAAATGAAATTTGTAGACAGCAGATGTTTCACGTGAAAGAAGACCCAGTTAACATTTTAAAATGCACAAATCTTACCTGACCCTGGAAAGAATTGAGCTAACCTACTGACTATTTTCTGTTATTTAAATAAATGTCAGATATATTACATTCAAGTAAAAATATCTACCTGCAGTCAGTAGAAATTTCCTTTTCAATCCTAAAAGATGCTTATGCTTGATTATGGATGGGTATGGGTAATTAAGGTAGTTATACAGTCCAAAACTCTTCAAACTATCAGTATTTTAAGTACTTTAATAAAATCTGAAATTTGAAGTACTACATAAAGTTATTCAGAATGAAAATATCTTTACATCACAACTGATGTTTACAATAAGGTTATTAAAAGGACATGCAAGTGATAATGAATCTTAATAGATCAACATAACACATTGGAATTTCTTATGCTGTCTTGAAAGATATATATGT